AATTGTCTCGTTACCCCTCATGGGGAGCACCAGATGTAACTGCGCACTGGAAAGTAGCCGTGTAATCAAAGACCCAAGATTTCAAGATGCGAAGCGATGAAATCACAACACAACACAAAAACCCTAAGATCTAATTTATATTTATCACAACTCGAGCTTCAATTGTTATCCTTTCAGCGTGCGTATGTGAGTTCGGGGAAGTAAGACCAGTATAGTCTGTCCGAAACAATGTACTTCAGTCTAAGAGTGGGCGGACACTTTCTTTATGAAAAGCTAGCGGGCGGCGCGTCTAGTTGCTACTACCGGCCGGAGCGAGTAGAGACTTTGCTTTTCGGGCGGACGAGAGACTTGAACTTCTGAAATGAGGGAGAGCGGCACCGGCGGTCAGTCTAAACCGTGCCAGGGAATTAGCGACGGCCAGACGATTGACGAGGTGTCTTCAACTCAGACCCAGGCGGACGACTCTTTCACTGAAAAGCCGGCGGCTCGGATTCGAAGGCTAGGCTGGCAGACGGTCTAGTCTGGCGGACTTCCTCTTACTCTGACAACGGACACTACTTCGCGTTGACTGCTTCTCACTTCAATGCTTCCGTCTATCAAATCGTCTATTCAAATCCTCTTAGTCTACTATATGGCCCGTAAAGTGGGGGGGATAGTCTACTGGCTAATTACAGGGTATACCGAGTCTTTTTATACAAACCGCTGGGTCACAAAAGGAGATATAAGGAAACTGTCCGGAACACAGTGTGGGTAAAGATCAGTAGTGTGGCCAATGGCGGCCGGGGTATTCTCATCCGTGGGTATAATCGTCTCAGTCAGCAGGCGGCCCATGTGGGCCGGCTGTGCGCCAAGAAGGTTGTCAGGCCGCCCGGACGAAGCTCCGCCCGGTCGCAACCTTCCCGCCTGCTCTTCCTTGGTGTGGGGACTTGTGCGTCCGCCCGCTCAAGCCCTCCGGCCGGTATCTTCTAGCTCATCTTGTGCCCCGTTCGTGTTTCCTAGGCGCGCGCCGCCCGTCTCATCTTGGAGCCAGCGGCCGGATCGAACCATCTTCTGTCAGCCGCCAGGAACAACGATCCTTGATCGTGGATCCTCATGCGTGTGGGCGGCTGATGAAGGTTCTTAGATCCCAGCCGGCCGGTTGCGTCTTCTCGGATTTATCGGACGGCCGAATGAACCGTCCGCCCGAATCTTATCTTCTAAGATTGTCCCGCCCGTAGCTAGCACTCCGCCCGGTAGTGGGCGGCTCGCTCTAAGATAGTAGTTCCTCTTGTTTGCCTCGAGTACACAAAGGTTCGGTGGTTAGCCGCCCCTCTGAGCCGGCCGGTTAGGTACATTGGAGGCCCCACTGAGCTAGGGGCTCAGTGCTGAGTCCTTTGAACGCGTGATTGCCCGCCCGCTTTCGACTGTCAACAGCAAGTATACCGTTCCGAGGAGAACGTATACTCTGCAACTTAGCCTTACATTCCCGCAAATAGGTGTTTCAAAGGATGCGAAAACCAGCGGTTTTCACCGGTGGCTCGTCACCCACCATATCACCGAACCGTGCGTTAAGGAGGGCCGTAACTGGGTGGCGCCTCAATAACCGGGGTGGGATTCCGTCCCGTACATGCCAGTGCTCTCGCTATTTTATACTGTACACTATAACGCTTACACAGAGAGAATTACAAGATTGCGGATAAACGGAGTAGGGGTGTGACAGACGATCGGGTATACATGTGTTTAAAATGAATAGAAAAACGAGTCATATCGGTAGCCAAGCAGTTACAGTTGAAATAAGAAAGATTAATGAAACTCCTGAATGTCCATTAGTTGCCTTGGGACTTCGTGTGGTGCTGGAAGTCGAGATTAGTCCCTAGGTTCTGAATAGGGCCGTGCCCGTGAATAAGATACTCAGAAATGGATTCTACATGTTCGTAGCTTCCACTGAGTACCCCGCACTCCCTTGTGAAGAGCTTGGAAGACCAAGTTCCTGGATTGGAACCTTAATCTCCCCGTTTTGAGAGTCGATCGCGATTTGATGTGATCATGTCCGGATAATTCCGTATCGGCCTATTCGGAACATGATCTCGGGCAAGTACTGAGCTGGTCACGTGGTCCATCGCGTATCCCATTTCGATGCAAAGAGATGTAAACAAAGGTTTCAATCAAGCGTCCGGCGTCCTCAAGACATAACCGATAAATCCCCCAGATGCCCACTAGGTACGTTATGAATAAGGGAGCTCTCTTGTACAACCTGAGCGTCTGTAAGTTGACCCAGTTTTAATTGTAACCCGTACAACAGCGCTAATTCAGTATGATCTTTCTGAATAGCCCCTGCGGGTGGACTTATTATAGTCCCCATTAAGAGTAGGCTCAAAGCATAACATCAGATATGATATTATGCTTGAGACGCGCGTTAAAAAGAACAGAAAACGCGAAAAACGCGTGAAACAGGCCTAAACCCGATACACGGCTTATCAACGGTTGTATCCACACCGTGGACCCCATGCATGGTATGGGTGTATGATTTGGCGTGGTGTTCTGGGATTGGTAGACCTCTATTATTGTGCGTGTCCAAAGTTTTTCCCGCCCCAATTCCCTTCTCATCGCGGACTTCGAGCTGAAACCCCCCAAATCTCGTGCCCGAGAGCTTTGGATTTTTTTTGGAACCCAGCGCTATCTCGGTGTCTGGCCGGGCACTCTAGTATGTGGTGAGGGTCTTTTTGAAACGATCTGCACCATGTTTTGGGCCGCTACAACTGCTGGGCGTGCCGAGGGTCCCGGATAGTCGGGGATGGGTCAGCCCGCACGCTATTCTGCGATAATACATCGTTTTTCTCTGCTTTTATATATCTTGTATGTCGACAATAACTATAGAAAATACTCCCTAGACACCCCCTATACTATTCCCGAAGCAAACCACCGGAAGCTTTTACCTACAGAGGCTGATTGACGGGGTGGCCGGTTGCCCCGTGTTTGGCCTTGTTGGCGATGCCGACGGAAAGAAATTCCTTGCACCATCAACACTGGCACTAAATTCATAGAAATTGTATCAAAGTATCTACATGATATCAGGCTTTATACGGGTGCACCATGGCCTGCATAGCTACAATAGGGCTGTCAAGAACGAGGGATAAATGCTAAGGTGGCCGTTTAGCCGGTCACAAATAGAAAGCCAGAGCTGGGGCGGCGCAAGATTTTGCTCGAAAATCACCACAGTATCACATTTTCTATCTCTCGAATGGAACTTTGAGATTGAGCTTCAACTCGACATGTATAGAAATTCGAGCTTCGGACCCAAGGGTAAGAATGAAAGCAAGGAGCTTCAAAACGACTAAGAACAGAATATATACATTCGCATTCCACTTCCAATGTGGCGCGTCCAAGATACGCAGTAGATCACTTCGCCCTTGATTCGCATTCACATCAGTACACCGATATTTCAGAAATCACCGAGCTCCTCCCTCCACTGCGCCCGTGTCTTCGACGCATGCGTCGCGACGGCTTTAGCGACGGCAAGCGCATAGTTGTTCAGCAGGGATAGATTAAGACGATGACTTGTATTCGTCGCTATTCAATACCCTAGGGGACCTGAGTTTGGAGTTCCAACTTCCATGACTCCGTAACAGCTGAGTACAACTCCGTAAGCACCTGACCATGGTTCGTGACAAATTTAGCTTGGCCGTTAGTATTGTGCAAGGCTTGTCAAGCTTCGCGCCTCACACCGTTCCGTACTGAGTACATGACGCTAGCCTGTTAATCACACGGTTCACACCACCAACGGAGACAAACATTGACAGCCAAATGACAGCTGGGACGCTGAGGGTCGCCGAGTTGATTGCGGATTCCGGCTTCATGTTGAAGCATGGCCGTAAGAGACGGTCATGAGTATGTACAGCCCAGAAAAAAACGCACAAGCGCATGAGGTCACAAGTATGCGCTGCAACATGTGGAGCTAATCCGTCCACGTTCGCTCAAATATTTCCTTGTGTTGGCATTTGCGGGATTCCCACGGTTGAGTTCGGTGGCGATGTTCTTTCTTTATACTCCGCTCCAACTCCGCCCCCGCTCACAGCTTCTCGCCGTCCTGCGGACTTCGAGCTTTACTCAACGGCACTATGTCGGAAAAACCAAGTTTGTCTGACAGCTCCTGACCAGGGGTTATTGGTCATTTCTGAACCTGATCACCGGAGGGGGTGATTGACGAGGCCTGACAAGGCCTGATAAGTTCTATCAGGCTGGGTCAGGCTGTCCTGACCGAGGCTGATCAGGCGGCGTCAGGCTGATCAGGTTCGAAAATGACCAATAAACCTTTACCAGAACCTATCAAGCAAATTTGATTTTTCCGACATAGAAGGATTAGTTCAAAACTGATACGGGCAGCCTTGACTCCACCGGTCTCATCACGGAAACAGGTGTCCGACTCCTTGGGGTCATTGATGGGGAGGGTGCACAATAGTAAAAGAGCTAGCCTCCTACTTTTCCAGAGGACGGAAAGATTGAGAGCCACCCACGATATCGAAGGTGGGTTTTTCTCGAGCCTTTGGGTCAAGGTGTCCACACCTTGCCGGCCAGATTCATGGGTGTCCAAGGGGGATCGAACTGCATCAGAGCTGACCCCGAGTTGGACGGTGGCCTTCCACCCACTCAAGTCAATAAATCTACACCCGCGTGGGATCCCTTGGGTGAGTCTGCCAGTGAAAGAATAAGGAAGTGATGGCTGCAACTGACAAAACATCACAAGGCCAAAAGAAAATTGGCAAAAAATCTACAAGTCCGTTCCCCCTTTCGACTTGGCGGTTTTTAGCCATTTCTTTCCACAAACTACATAAAGCCTCGGACTTTTCATCCTCTCACTCCATTGACTTGGTAAACTTGTCTAAAAAAACACAAGTCCATTCCCCCTTTCGACTTAGCGGTTTTTGCCATGCATTTTTGAAACCAAAAATTCCAACAAAGTTCCTGTAAGCTTCTCCCGTTGAAATGGGAAGAGTTTAACGTCGTAAAAAGGGCAAAATAAGTGACCACCGCAGGGGTCGAACCTGCAATCTCCTGATACGTAGTTACGTAAGTCCGTCGTAGTCAGACGCGATGCCATTTCGCCAGGCGGCCAATGAGGGATATTGCCTTGATGGTTCTATGTGGCCAGGGGTCAGGATAAACTGGGAAGAGAAGACTCACCCAACCACAGCACTCAAAGTATGCCGCGAGCTCATATTGGATCATATCAGGTGGGACAACACATTTCTTTCTGATTTGTTGCAGTGACAGCGGCGCTCGATATATATGCTATTAGTACTATGGACGACACCGAAGTAATTGTTAACCACCTGATACATCTACTCTCCCCTTTTTTCCCCCGTTTTCTCTCTCTAGAATTATCCTATCCCACCGGTTTACCGGTCCCGAGCGGGTGCGGCATGAATACCAACACCGACATATTTGTCACCCCGCTGTGAGGGAGACGTTGAGTTATTATTATTAAGGCTTTGCATCGAACTCCAATCTCAAGCGAATGTAGTGAGCGCGGGAGACAGTAGAGAAATTCATGACTATTGACAATACAACTTATGATGAACCTCATGTCGATGTAGTCGAGCCTGCCTCCGTCCGCAAAAATGTCCTATAATCCTTCAACTCGGGGTACTGCTCTCGCAGCGCAGGGATATCAACCTTGAAACCGACGTCGTTGAAGAACTATACCGGCACGCTCAGCATCAGAGCCATAATTCACAACGCAGACACGGAACGCACCTTGAACATAAGCCGCAGCTCTTTCACACCCGCGCGGACCGCCCATGCTAGAGCCGTTCCGCCGAGCATCTTGGGGCGCAGCTCGACGCCAAACACATCTCGCCAGCCCGCGTCGAGGTCATCCCGAGTCAGCACGTCCCCAGCGATATCCACATCCCTCCCGATATACCTATGCGAGATATCATGTCAAGATTGAAAATGCCAAGTAGCCTGTTTACGTACCTTTCCGGGTTTGCGAGCACAAGCGCGGCCACGCCGCCGATGTCGCTGCAGGCGACAAATTGTAGGCGCGTGCTAGGCTTGAGTTGAGTGAGAAACATGATCTTGGTGATGCATGCGAGGGCCGAATCGGGGTCCGCATGGACAAGCTCGTCCATGAAAGTCACTGGGCGCAGGATCGTGGTGGGCAGATTGGGATGGGCGGCTTTTAGGTGAGCCTCGGTCACGCGCTTGGATTCAAAGCTACAATGTATAAGTTAAGGTAAGTACACTGAAATTTCCAGACTCACTGTGGGACGTATGTGTTATCCACTCCACCGAGATTGACGCTTGAGTAGACAAAGTGCTTCACGTCGTGCTTTGCCGCGGCGTCTGCAAGTGCGTTCGCCTCAACGATCTCTTGGGCGACGCCCTTGGGGTTGTCCATGCTTTGCTGCACGGAGAACACCGCGTGGACCGGACCCGGTGCAGAGGTGAAGAGAGCCGCCGGATCTGCGGGAGTGCCTTTGTGCAGACGCACACCACGCAAAGATTCCAGCGCTTTACTCTTCGCAGAGGCTGGGTCGCGAGTCTGCGCGAGGATGAGCCAGGGAATGGCGTCCGACGGAGCAGCTTCGTTGCCCTTGGCGAGCGCTGGATTTGGTCTCAGGTAAGTGCCAGAGCAGGCGCTGGAAAAACGCAAACATACCACGCACGACTGCCCCTCCTTGCCTTCCTGTAGAAAGCATAACGATGACGATCTTGCCGGAGGATGGAGGCTCTGCCATTTTTGAGATGTGGGTAGAAGGAAAGAGAAGTAACGACTCCATCTGCCCGCTTCTCAGCCTTCTTATAACTGGTTTCGCCTCGAACAGGTACCGAACTCATCCCCTCTTCCGCCTTTCCGAACCGTGGTAACATTTCCCGCTGATCTCGGGAAATCAAACCGTGATGTCTCACTCATGGTCATGGACCCGGAACACCGCTCATCTGGACGAGTGTCCACTCGCCATGACCTGTGCCGCAATGAAAATGGTGGCGCGAGTGGATGCTTTTTTTGTGACCTTCTCCTCTAGAGACTTGTGGTCCCCGGATTGTTTACTATCTCTCCAACTAGAACTGGATCAACATTGGCCGGCGCGACGCTGCCTAATGAGTTAATATTTTCAGGCAGATTCCTCCGTCAATCCCAGGACGTACCAGCACGCTGGCAGCTAAGACCTTCCTACCATCCCTGGCCAGTACTGTGATAACAGGATCACAGCGATTATCAACAAGGTCAGTACCCCACAAAGGAAAGCGCGGATCCATCTGGTTATTATTGCTTCCAATTAATCCAGAAATCACATTCACCAATGCGCTACGCACCTCTCGGCACACGACTCTTCGGGCTCCAAATCACCCTCAGCGGTGTCGAAGCTGGTAGGCCAATAATTCTGAAGCTCGACGTCGAGCCTGCCCGCATGGCTTGGAGAGTTACTCGGCTCTCGAGTGGGAAGGCGTATGGTCATCTGGTGTGAATGAAAAGCGGGGATGAGAATTATGGTTTTCGCCCTCTGGCAGCTTACAGCTCTTTGCGGAACTTAGGGCGCGGGCCGTTTTTTTCTGTTTTCTGCTGTTTTGGGTAGAACACCTGCCCTGGGTTCAGTTTTAGTCCGATTTCTTCGGCGTAGTGCGCGTTGGAATCGCGCTGCAGGCCCGCAGTTCCCTGTATCCACGACTTTGTATTTTGATGCCATCATTGAAATTTGACCGAAAAACACCGTAGTCCAGTAGGACACTGGTAGCCTTGACAATATAGGTCCAAATGACATAGATTTTTTATAGCACATACTTCATTATGTTACCAAGTCAACTGGCATATTTACACACTCACACATAATCAGACTTGTCTTCACAGTGCCCTCTATTCAAAGGTGAAATGTCGTACTCGGAAACTGTCACACTAGATTGAATTGAGGGGGGGAACCACAAATCGTATGAGCCCATCAACTAGAGAACATACCAAAGTACATACCCACAAAACCTCAACCCTATAAGAATAGTTTTGACCGTGCTACAGCTGTCCTACTTGGATCGGGACTTTTTGGGTGAAAATTTTATGATGGCATCAAAATACAAAATCGTGGATACAGGGAACTGCGGGCCTGCAGCGCGATTCCAACGCGCACTACGCCGAAGAAATCGGACTAAAACTGAACCCAGGGCAGGTGTTCTACCCAAAACAGCAGAAAACAGAAAAAAACGGCCCGCGCCCTACGTTCCGCAAAGAGCTGTAAGTCCCGAAGCTCGTCGTTCTCAATCAGTTGATTTCCCCAGGACTTGCAAATCGAGGAACGCCGGGCTCCACTGTATGCGCAGACATCAATCATATGGCGGAAGTTATAATACCGTTGGATAGAAAGACTACGAATTTGGGAATACCGTTGGCATACGCCGTCAATTTCTCCAAACTCACGCGGCCTTGTTCTTAGACTTGTCCCTTCAACGACGCGGAGCCGCGGGGGAAGCGTGGTGAAGGTCGGGCTTTGTCTCATCAAACTGATCGGACTTGATCCAAATCCCTCTCTGTCGGCGCGAGCGGGGACACCTTGATATAATCCCATTGTCCATCTCAAGCGGGAGAGGTAAAGTGGCCATGGCGAATGATAGTGAATAAACTCATTCGCATACAAGTTATGCGGAGCCTGGTTTCGCGGTCGACCCTGCCTCCGTCCGCAAGAACGTCTTCCAATCCTTGAGCTCCGGATACTGCTCTCGCAGAGCAGGGATATCGGCGTTGAACCCGATTTCGTTGAAGAACTATACTCGCAAAACACTAAGCGCCAGGGTTTCAGGCGCGGACAAGGAACGCACTTTGAACATGAGTCGCAACTCTTTCATACCCGCGCGCAACGCCCATGCTAGGACAGTTCCGCCGAACATCTTGGGGCGCATCTCCGTGCCGAGGACCTCCCGCCAACCTGTCTCGAGGTCACTCGGAGTCAACGCGTCGCCGGCCAAATCTACATCTTTCCCGATATACCTGAGTAAATCACCCAATGTTATTGGATCTGAAAATCACAATTAATTAGCGTACGCACCTCTCCGGGTGGGCGAGCACCAGCGTGGCAACACCGCCAATGTCGCTGCATGCAATGAAATGTAGGCGTGTGCTGGGCTTGAGTTGAGTGAGGAACATTAGCTTGGTGAGGCGTGCGGTCGCCGATGCAGGGTCACCCATGACAAGCTGGTCCATGAATGTTACCGGCCGCAGAATCGTCGTGGGCAATTTGGGGTGAGTTGCTTTCAGGTGAGCCTCAGCTAGGCGCTTGGATTCAAAACTACTCTTTATAAGGTCAGGAACACCGCGTCATTTCCTGGGACTCACTGCGGAACATATGTTTTATCCCCCTCAGCCCCACCGAAATTGACGCTCGTGTAGACAAAGTGCTTCACGTCGTGCTTGGCGGCGGCATCTGCAAGGGCATTCGCCTCAAGCGTCTCTCCCGCAACTCCCTTAGGGTTGTCGACGCTCTGCTGCACAGAGAACACCGCGTAGACTGGGCCCGGTGCAGAGGTGAATAGCACCGTCGCATCGGTAGGAGTGCCTTTATGAAGATAGACACCACGCAAGGACTCCAGCGCTTTGCTCTTGGCAGACGTTGGGTCGCGCGTTTGCGCAAGGATGAGCCAGGGCATCGCGTCTGAGGGGGCAGCTTCGTTGGCCTTAGCGAGGGCTAAACATTCATCGAGGATAAGTGCGAGAATGATCGCTGACGAAAGGGTAACATACCACGCACAACCGCTCCGCCTTGTTTCCCCGTCGAAAGCATGACGAGAACTATCTTGCTAGAGGACGGAGGCTCTGCCATGTTGGAGGTGGTGGTAGGTGGTGGTGGAGAGGAAGAGATGTAATGCCTCCGGCTGTCAGTTGCTTCCTGCTGCTTCCCATGATTGATTCCGGCTGACATGAGTCAGAAACTTTCCGCCGGAAACTTTCCACGTGCGTGACGATAGCAAGATTACGCGGATTTCCGATCTAGGAGCGATATTGTTGATCGACATGATGGACAACATGAACGCGACGTGGATGCTGCGGTCTCTATGCTGGAGATAATCGAACTTGAATCGAACGGTACTTTTCTTCGAGGCATCGGGTTCATCCTGGTGGCTTCCTT